ATGGCTTTAGCCAATTGTCGAGCACGGCGCTGGCGCTGTCTCTGACGAGCTCTCTTCGTCAGCACCGGCGAGCTATTCATCATCGACTCCTGAATGGGTGTGGAGTCGTTCGGAGCAGAGATGTTGCAGGTAGATTCTTTAGCAACATCCGGGCAAGAACTTTCACCTGCGATCTTCATTAACACTGCAGACTTGAGCTTTTTTCTGGGAGATGAAACTTTCCTATACTTGCGGGGCGAGGAAAGTTTTGATGATGAGGACGACAAGTACTCCTCAAATTTCGCCTGATCGAATTCGTATTCGATCTCTTCGTTGACAACGATCTTGATCGGTTGCAACACCGCGGCCTCGGCAGCGAGGCCGCTGGCTCCCACTGTGGTCGCCAGCTTGTTTGGTTCAAAAGTCGGTGCTGTTGAGGAATTCATTATAACTTTGTTTGATTACAACAAATTCGAAAGAATAATCTTTCTATAAGATTTTTTCTACACAACAAAGCGAAAATTACAACTTTTGAGAAACAAACACAAAAATCGTCTATCGATCTTTGTTTTCGTGGGACTTTGCCTGTGTCGGGAACGCTTTGGCTCGTGGACCGCCGAATCACAGATCGTGAAGAGGGGGTTTACTGATTCTGACTTCGTTTATTGAAGTGAGAAATTGAAACGATATCTTATCGAAGTAAGATAGTCGTTCTTCTTAAAATCAAGTCAAAGCTTAATTTTAAGGCGTTGTAAGAAAACTCAAATCTGCTCTCTCTCTGCTCTGGAATACTCGAAAATATGCTCGATCTTTGTCAGAAGTGACCCTAGGGGGGTATTTATAGCCTCAGGGGTCTGCAACTGAAAAAACTCAACAAATGATGACATTAGTATGGCGAGACAGTGTTTACTGTCTCGCTGGGCGAGACAGTGTTTGCTGTCTCGCTGGGCGAGACAGTGTTTGTGTTTGCTGTCTCGACCCGCGAGACAGTAAATACTGTCTCGGAAACAGTAACCGCAGGCAGTTTTCGTTTTAACTGCCTTCCCACGTTTCAAACTCCGTTATTTTGGCAGTTATTCAAGTGATTTTTGCCCACGATGTTTCCCACGTCCCTTGGCAGTTAATGGACACATGTAGGGCAGTTACAAAGGTAGTTTTGACCATTTCAACACTGTCTCACTGGCGAGACAGCAAATACTGTCTCGCTGGCGAGACAGCAAAGCCTGTCTCGCTGGCGAGACAGCAAATACTGTCTCGCTGGCGAGACAAAAGCCTGTCTCGCTGGCGAGACAGTTCATTCCTGCTTTGATTTTCAATATGAGATCCTTTTGAGTGATCTTCTCTATGTTTGGGATATCTATTAGCATTTTTTGACGCCTACAATTCTGTGATTAAATTTTTTCACTAATTATTTACATAACATAACCTCATTGCAGTATAGGCTATAGTTCATGCACATGGGCCGGGTTTCTAATAATTTTAAGTACCTCTTTAACTTGACAAATTTGACAATTAAATTTTAACATGTGTTGTAATATACTAAAAGAAATGAAACATGAGACAAGAGACAAGAGAAGAAGAGAAATTGTAATCTCTTATTCATCATCTTCCATTTTCATACATCGTACAATTTATAGATACATGATGGAATACAAAAGGACATGAAATTAATAGTCCACATACAAAGTAATGTCCACATACATTTTGTCTTTTAGATTTTCACAAAATGTCACTTAGATTTCAACACTCCCCCTTGGACATTACTTCGAAATGTCAATGCCTCGTTAAAAACCTCGCTAGAAAAACCCAGTGGGATAAAAACTAGTCGAGGAAAAGAGTACACGACATTAGTAAATTCTTATTGCATTAGTTGCCTCATTAAAAACCTTTAACTAAGAAAACCCTGTGGGACAAAACTTAGCAAAGGGAAAAAGAGTACAATTATAGATCTTCGGGATCCAAACTTGTGTTGCATTAGTTGACTCATTAAAAACCTTTAGCTAAGAAAACCATGTGGGACAAAACTTAGCAAAAGGAAAAAAAGAGTACAACTATAGTTCTTCAAGGCACAATCTTCGGGATTGCGTTGAAAATTCGCTCCCCCTGATGATGACAATCTTATGAGTCTATGCTAAGAAAAACCCAGTGGGACAAAACTTAGCGAAAATGGCAAATTATGATAATAGACCTTCAGGGCCCAATCTTCAGGATTGTTCTTTAAGAATTTGCTCCCCCTGAAGAAGATAGTCTTTCAAGTCTATGCATATTGTGAACATATTTCTCATAAGTTGATGTAGGCAGAGATTTAGTGAACAAATCTGCCAGATTATCACTTGAGCGAACTTTTTCGATGGTGATTTCACCATTCTTTGGAGAATTTTGGTGTAATATGTTTTGTCATGGTTCCTTTTACATATCCACTGCTCATTTGTGCAACACAAGCTGCATTGTCCTCTTAAAGGACAGTGGGGGTAATAAAATCTTTTGTTAGACCACACGAGCCACAAATATGTCGTATCAACGATCTTAATCATACATATTCTCGTGAGGCCTTATATAAACCAATAATCTCTGAGTGGTTAGAAGAAGTAATCACCATGGTCTGCTTAACAGACCTCTAAGAAATGACAGTACCACCACAGAGAAAAACATAACCAGTCTAGGACCTGGCATTATGGGGATCAGATATGTAGCCAGTGTCCTAATAGCCCACCAATGTCATATCTTGGTTTCTTTTATAGAATAGTCCAAGATCTTTTGTACATTGAAGATAGCGAAGGAAATGTTTAACACAATTTCATTGCTTCCTTATAGGATAAGCACTATACCTTGCTAGCAAGTTCACCGCAAATGCAATATCAGGCCTGGTGCAATTTGCGAGATAAAGAAATGCTCCAATGGTGCTCAGATAGGGAACTTCTGGTCCTAACATTTCTTCATTATCTTCTTTGGGTTTAAATGGGTCTTTATCCACTTCGAGGGATCGGATGACCATTGGTGTGCTAAGTGGATGAGATTTATCCATATAAAATCTTTCCAAAACCTTTTTCACATAAGGTTGACTGGTGTAGAAAAATTCCTTCTGGGAAAATGCTCGATCTACAGGCCGAGACAAAACTTGGTTTTTCCCAAGTCTTTTATTTCAAACTCCGTCTTTAGGCATGAGCTAGCTTCTGTAAGCTCCTTGTGCATTCCAATAACATTTATATCATTAATATAGACTGATATAATACATAAGTCATTTTTGAATTTCTTTATAAACACACAAGGGCAGACATCATTATTTGCATATCTCCTCTTTAGGAGGAACTCACTCAGTCGGTTATACCATATTCTACCCGACTGTTTCAAGTCGTATAACGACCTTTATAATTTAATATTATACATGTTGTGATTCTTGTTTTCTCTTAATTCAGGAATTTTAAGTCCATCAGGGACTTTCATATAAAAATATTATCGTCTAATGACTCATATAAAAATGTGGTCATGACGTACATATACTACATATATCTGCCATATGTATTAACTTGCGGAACGTAATACAATAACTAATAGGAGAATATTTTACATCTAAATCGATGTCGGGTCTCTGCGTGAACCCATTGAGCTATGAATCTCGCTTTATATCTCGCCACCCTACAATTCTCATTTATTTTTCTTACGAAAACCCATTATATCCTGCAGGGATATATGAACTACAGGTTCAAAATACTTTAGCGAGTTCAGCTCAGCCTCATATGGACTACAGGTTCAAAATACTTTAGCGAGTTCAGCTCAGCCTCAATTGTCACTTTCCATCTCACCTAGTCCGAGTGCTTCAAGCACTCTACTACCGACTTAGGTTCTGGATCCAGATTATTTTCGGAGATAGTAAGAGCAACTGTAGAGGCAACTATGTTGTTGACAACTTTTATATTTATATTATATATTTCTCCTTTTTCACAAATTCGTGGTCACTTTAATTCTTATTTTATGTTAACCAAATCCTTGTCATTTCCCTTAACAATTGGATTTGGTCGTTCCGCATCTTCAATATTATGATTATCAAGTGCACGTGCAATTTACTGGAGATTTCGTCTTCAGGACAAGCCTCTTCCGGAGGTTATGGGAGTGACTGTCTTTCTATATATAATTTAGTTTGCCGCGGACTTTTATCTTTTACATTAACATGCTTTATATGCTTCTGGCACAATATGCTTCTGGCATACCAAATCATCAATGATATATTCAACATGAATATGGGGCTTAGTCACTCTTTTCTTGGCAGATTATCATTTGAACTTCTGGTTCAGTTTGACTAGTACGTGGATATAAATATTGAAGATTTTTTTCACCAATAGAATTTCTTGACATTATTTTGTATTTTGGGCACTAATCTCCCCCTAATGTCGAGAATTGATCTTCAATAAAAATGCAGTCAGCGTACTAAATTGTAAATTGATCCCCTAACATGGGCTATAGGTACTAAATTATTGACGGAGTTTCATAAATAATGTATGTACCTTCACCGAGGTCCCATAGAGGTACGTTATGGTGGTGATATAGAAACATGGACTGCAAATAAATAATACGCAGATGGGAAATGTTTTGCTTCTACACCACGTATTAGGTAAAGGGGGGAAAATTGTGATATGCAGTTGGTCGAATTTGCTTTGAATGCCCCATTTAATTTAAGAAAATCCGACGGATCATATTTTGCCCAAGATGACCCAATCGCTCATGCCATAGTTTAAAAGAATTTGGGTCCCTAAATCTTAAATTCATCGCAACATGGTGTATTTTAGGTCGGATATATGTATAGTACAACCCTGAGGAGAAAGATGGAAGCTTCTCCACAACCACGTATTAGATAAAGGGGAATAATCATTTAAACAAAACCCATACAAACTTGAAATTGTCTTACAAAAACATGCAAAATAAGTCTCGAAAAATTCCAAATTATCATAACAAAAGTAATTAGAACATGTCTGAAAAACGAAATAGACTAATAAAACATGCATAGATAGTGATAAATAACATGATCACTCCTGGTCACCAAAATCATCAAGCTCCATCTTCAATAAGTCATCATCGTCTAGATTCAGGTTATCATCATAATTGTCATCTTTTAGGGCCATATTTGCTTCAGGCAAACTGGCATGATGTTTTTTACCTTGTTTTGACTTCCCCTTTGAGTCCTTCATCATTCTCTGATAGGCCTCAACCAAATGTTTCGGTGTACGACATATACGAGACCAGTGGTCCTCACATCCACACCGATAGCAAGCTTGCTTATTATTAGCAACCTGTTGATGAGAGTTAGGCTTGTTTGAAGGAGATCTATCCTTGTTTTGACCCTTGCCACGGTCCTGAAGACCATAAGCATTGCGACGACCACGACCTCTACCACCACGATAAGACCCTCGACCACGTCCACGACCTCTACCATGTCCACGCCCATGAGTATTACTCTGATTTGTAGCATGTGCTTCAGGCACAGCTTGCGAACTAACTGGTCTAGAATTATGGTTGCGTATCAGAAGTTGGTTGTGTTTCTCTGCAACTAGTAACGCAGAGATCAATTCAGAGTGTTTTGAATAGTTTTTGGTCCTGTACTGCTGCTGGAGTACAAGATTACTTGCATGGAATGTAGAGAGGGTCTTTTCAATCAATTCATCCTCTGTAATGTTCTGCTTACAGAGCTTCAGCTATGAGACAATGCGGTGGAGAGTTGAATTGTATTCAGTTACGGATTTAAAATCCTGAAATCGCAAGTTCAACCAATCATACTGTGCTTGCGGAAGCATAATAGTCGTCTGTTGGTCAAAGCAATCCTTCAGGGATTGCCAGAGAATAGCAGGATCTTTTTCAGTAAGGTACTCATTTTTCAGGTCTTTGTTGAGATGATGACGAAGAAAAATCAATGCCTTTGCCTTCTGGGCAGAGGTGCTCTGAGAAGCTGGATCAATAGTGCTGCTTAAATCACAAGAATCTAGGTAGATTTCAACATCCAAGGCCCAAGTCAAGTAGTTGCTGCCATCAACGGTAAGCTCAGCAAATGCCCTTTTGGATATGTCAGACATTTTTCAGAAATGTTATAATTATCAAAAGAAGATATATCAATCCACCAAATTTATAAAATATTACACTATACAAGATGTGCATACAAACAGAAGTGAATAAATAAAGGAGCCACAGTGCATGCCTCTGTTCTAATTAGCTAGGACAAGTGATCAATCAACAGAAGGTGTGCATTTGTAAATTGTATTAAACCAGACTGCATGAAATCAACATATAGTAAATAGTTTATATGCAGTTTATGTGCTTATGTCTGCAACATGTTCTTATCCAGATAGTCAAAAAAAATGGGGGAACTGTAATAAAGAAGAGCTCTGCCATCTAGAAAATTATAGGCTTGTTCCATGCAGTTTGATCATGAGCACATTCTTTTGTTGCTAATTACCAAGCACCTGTTCTCCATTATACCTTAACATCATTGTATATGAGAAACTAGCATTAACGTGTTTCTGCTGTGTGAAGAAATCAAACCTATCTTCTATTTCTTCAACAAGTGTAGGAAATTCTAGTTTATCATTTTCCAATTGACTTTTGTTCAACACTGTTCAAAAATTTAATGCATGTTGTACATTACCGAATAGGATATGCTTGATTATAATAGAAAAGAGAACTCAAACAATTAACTTAGTTATTTCTTCTAAAATTCTAATGAATACCACTAAACTTTAACTTTTAGACTGATGAGAAATACATGCTCATATATGGATGGCCAATCGCATGCGTTTCACAATGCAAATGTTCATGTTTATGCGATAAAGACCATGCATCGGATTTTATTGTAGACAAGTTCCAAATGATATTGGATATTGAGAAAGAGCATGTAAGGTTCTAACACCATTTATATGAGAAACTAGCATTTTGGTGCTAAGACTGTTCTGTAATCTTTATAGTTCTCTATGGATTACAAATGTCTGCTAGATTTCCTTCTCAATAAGGAATATCCATCACTCACATGCTTTGGATATGTTTCCTTAGAGGATTCATAATTTAAACAATAATAAATGCAAATTTTTCTTCTCAGCAACTTTTAAGCTATTACATTTTGTTATTGGAGGAACAATTACTCTAAAACTCAGGAGAGAATATCTTGATGTCCATTCTCATCAAAAGAGAAGAGTAATACGTGTCCTTTTTAAAATTAGTGTTGGAAAAATCTATTACTTCCCCTTGCCATTTTATTTTCCGTGCCATTTTATTTTCTGTTAAAAAGACAAGTTTACTTGAAGAATTCAAATAAATGAGATGCCAAGATTCATACTGAACATAATCATAATCATTCGACGAAAAACTTGATACTATGTAAATAGACAAAGGCCGAATGTATTATTACCTTGCAGAAGATGTACACCTAAAAATCTATTACTACGAACCGATGATCATGAACCGGCTAGAACCACTCGTGCTGATAACGTGTTGTAATATACTAAAAGAAATGAAATAGGAGACAAGAGACAAGAGAAGAAGAGAAATTATAATCTCTTATTCATCATCTTCCATTTCCATACATCGTACAATTTATAGATACATGATGGAATACAAAAGGACATGAAATTAATAGTCCACATACAAAGTAATGTCCACATACATTTTGTCTTTTAGATTTCCACAAAATGTCACTTAGATTTCAACAACATGGAATAATTTTTTTTTTTTTTTTTTTTTTTTTTTTTGTTGAAATCTTTCGAGTAGATGAATTCATACATCAATCATCTAAAATTCCCGAGGATTCTTTTCATATTGGCCCGAAGTATTCAATGATCTCCAATTATATGTAATGGGGAAAAAAAGAAAAAAAAACATACATAAAAAGAATGTCTCAATGGTTCCCAATCATCTAGAAGCCTATTAGCAAAAGTTCACTTTGGACTAGGGTGAGGATGATTTTTACGATTGCTGAAATATTGAAGGTGTGAAAACGGTGAAGGAATTGTGAAAAACGTGAAGAATAACCCAAAACAGACTCCACCACACCCTGGTGTGGTGTCTGTCATGGATGTGGTAGAATCTGTCCTGCACCACACCCTCTGTCACACCCACGGTGCAGGGTGTGGCAGAATCTATCCTGCACCACACCCTCTGCCACACCCATAGTGCAGGGTGTGGCAGACTCGTTTTTAGAATCCTCCTTTATTTGGGAATCCTCCTCTGTTTGGAATTGTGTTTTATTATAAATAGGACCACGTTTTTTAGGGTTTCTTAAGGTGAGAAAATGAGAGAATTAGCATTGTTTTGAGCACTTTGAGAGGGAGATATTGTGAGGGAGTTGAGAGCTTTGGTTAGGGTTATATTTGAGTGATTTTGTGAGTTGTAACCCGTTGTATTTCTCCTCCATATAGTAAAATCTCCCCATCCTCTCTCCGTTGACGTAGGCAATTGCCGAACCACGTATATCTCTGTGTTTGGTTTGATTTATCGTAATTGGCTTAGTTTGTGCAAGTGTGTGGCTTTCTTCTTCCGTGATCTCAAGTTCGTTGTGTGTGCGTGCAACGCTTCCGCATAGGCGCGCGACAAGTGGTATCAGAGCTCAGATTTCAGATCTAGGGTTTTAGATTAGGTGGAGGAAGATTCAGTTGGAAGTTTGGTTCTTGGAGTTCTAGGCTTTGGTGGAGTTAGGGTTTGAAGTTACCATTGAAGATCTCGCTTTCCTCGTGTGGTTAGGAGTTCTATTTGGAATCCAATCTAGGGTTCAGTTGGGTAATTTCTTATTCCTTTCAAAGTTTGAATCTTTCCTTGCAATTTGGAATTTATGATTATGGGTGAAGAAGTTGGTAAAAGCAGCAAGATGATCGGCACAGTTCAAGTGGGTTTTCAGAACACTAAGATTAGTGTAGTGAAATATGACGGCAAAATCAATTTTGGTTTATGGATGAGCGACGTACAGGATGCGCTCAATGCTCAAAATTTGGAGGAGACCATCATGGTCGATGTGAGGCCACCTAAATATGAAGAGTCGGTATGGGAAAAGATGAATAGGAATGCTTGTGGGGTGATCAGGTCCTGTTTGGAACAGGAGCTGAAATATGATGTGATTGGGGTAACGTCTGCGATGAAGATGTGGGAAATTCTCAATAATAAGTATCTTACGAAGAGTATTGAGAACAGGTTGCATTTGCTACGTAGGTTATTCAGATTCCAGATGTCCCGAGGCACCTCGTTTGCGGCTCATGTGAATAACTACACTAAGTTATTGTCGGACTTGACAAACGTGGATGAGAAGATCACGGATGAGTACAAGGCTATTATTCTTTTGGGCTCCTTACCAGATGAAGAGTATGATACCTTCGTGCTTACGTTGCTGAACGGGAGATCTTCTATCACATATAGTGAAGTGACTAACGCATTGATGAACTACGATTTGAGGAGGAAGGATAAGGAGACTTCCCGCGCTAGTACTTCAGGAGAGGCCTTGTCGACGAGAGGTAGAAGCCCATATCCGAAAGGTGGTAATAGAGAAAAATTAAAGTCAAGAAGCTGCCACCAATTAGTAAAGATCCAATGTGAATTCTGCAAGAAACATGGACATTGGAAGAGAGACTGTTCGTAGCTCAAGGAGAAGGAGGATAGCAAGAAAAAGGGCCCGAAGGCCAATGAGGTGAACGTTGCGAAAGGCAATGATTCCGATGATTCGTGTTTTTCTCTTTCGATTACTCCGGAGGTGAACCATTTGGATGCATCAGATTGGATGATTGATTCTGGCGCTACTTATCATGTGACTCCTAGGCGAGATTGGTTTTCATTATTTGAGAGACTCGACGGGGGTGTTGTTGTCATGGGAAATGATCAATCTTGTGGTATTTGTGGGATAGGTACTGTGAGGATTCGGATGCATGATGGAGTAGTCCGTGAGTTGAAGGAGGTGAGATTCGTTCCTCAACTAAAGAAGAATCTTATCTCAGTTGGAGCTTTGGAGGCGAAGGGATTCAGGGTCACCTTTGAGGATGCTGTAGCGAAGGTTACTAAGGAATCTTTGGTGGTGATGAAGGGAGTCCGCAGTCATAATTTATATTATCTGAAGGGGAGCACCGAGATTGGCCAGGTTGCTTCGGCTATTTCAGAGGCGGACATGAGCAGACTTTGGCATTACAGGCTAGGGCACACAGGTAAAAAGTCACTGCAGGCATTGTGCAAACAGAGGCTATTGAAGGGAGCCAAGAGTGGTAAAGTGGAATTCTGTGAGCATTGTGTACTTGGTAAGAAGACAAAGGTGAAGTTCGGGACGACCATTCATAGGACGAGGGGCATCTTGGACTACGTGCACACAGATATTTGGGGTCCCACCAAGACGACATCACTTGGCGGTCGACATTGGTTCGTCACGTTCGTTGATAACTATTCTAGGTGATGTTGGGTGTACACCATGAAGCATAAGAGTGAAGTCCTAGATTTGTTTGTGGAGTGGAAGAAGAGATTAGAATTGCAGACTGGGAGAATGTATGTAGGAAATTTGTAGTAAAAAGACAATGAAAGAAAAATTTGACTTGTATTCTCTCAAAATCAATTACAATTTGGATTCCGATTACAAAAGAGAGGGGAATGAATTTGATTCCCCTTTGTTTAATTCTGGGTTCTTCACGGTGGCGATGAGATGCCTCCCTCGAATGCTCGCGTCGAGTTTGCTTCTCGTTGACGATCCAAACGTCTTGATTCACTGGAACGTGATTTTCTCCTCACGATTTGACGCTGTAGAGAACTTGCGTGGTAAGTTTGAAAATAACTCTTAACGAGTTGATAAATCTGAATGAGTTTTAGAAGAACTTGCAGAGCAAGTTTTGAACTCTGATCGAGTTGATAACTCTGAACGAGTTTGACCTCTTGAAAAAGAGTTGATTTGAACCGAAAGTCGGTTATAAGCCAAGGGAATGCTCCAAGGATTTTGTTGCTGCCGAAAGCTCCCAGAATTCCCCCAAAAGGTCAGCCGAAGATCTCTTCTTTGTTGCCCCAAAAAAGAAGGATCTGAACTCAGTTGAGTTTCCCACTATTTATAGGGTATTTAGGGGTGTAACCG